TATATATATATATATATATATACACACACACTTATATGCATGCTGTGGATAAAAAGAAATAATGGGCATCCTAGAGAATGTAACTTCTTTTCATTGCTATGTTAAAATAGTATTGGAAGTGGTTAACACTTGACCTTTTCCATTTTCCATACTCCTTAGAGTTCAGAAATCTCTACATTTCATAGGTTCTTAACTTCAGTCAAATGGATTCCCCTAGAGCAGAACCCTACCAGGTGCAGCTAGACATTAATCCCCCAGCCCTCTGAGTAACTGAGAAGAACCTGAAGCAACCAAACATCCCAAACTGGTAGCATGCAGTTCAGGTGTTCCTTCAGAGGCATCCTGACCAATTTGAAGAAATTTGCAATTTAAAGTAATCAGAAATAAGGGGAGAAAAGGGAAAAGTAGATGAGTGCCAATCAGCAAATGATACCAGTAATTGGTGAACATTATAGGCAATTTTTAGTGCTATCTAGCCAAGGAGATAATCCTACCACAGGACCACTACAATATCCTGTGGCCCATCATGGACAAGAATCCCAAAGGAATTGTGTATGAAAGAAGTGTGGGATACAGGTGTTCGAACAACATAGAGAGGAACAGGCCAAGATAAGGTTGGGAAGCTGAGCTGATTGGGTGAAGACAAATAGCACAAAAAATCAAAAGACTTGTTAACTCTAGAGTAGAGGAAACAATGAAGAGAGGTACAAAAGATAGATTTAATTTTGTTGGCAATACTCCATTTCTTAAGATAGCTAGATACTGTTGTATAGGTCCATAAATTTCATTTTAAAACCTTAGGACCCAATGTGATTTAGACTTCAGAATTTTGGAGATTTAATAAAGATAATAAGGGATATGCTATATATTATACAACATCCTTCAGTGGGAACTACCATATCACCCCATAATCAAACATACTATTTCTGTAGCAAAACACAAAAATTCACATTGAGTAAACTGAGGATTTGATAGTTTCATGTCCATGTAGGTCATGTTTTACAGTCAAATGATTTTCTTTTCCAGTTCTGTTGTTTGAACTCGGGGCTTCACACTTGCCAGGCAGGCACCCTGCCACTTGAGCCACTCCACTAGCCCTTTATGTGTTGAGTATTTTTGAGATAGGGTTTCACAAACTATTTGCAAGGGCTGGCTTCTAACCACAATCCTTCTGATCTCTGCCTCCTGAACAGCTAGGGTTATAAGTGGAAGTCACTGGTGCCCAGCTCAAATTAATTTTTTAACTATTGTAGCTTTAAAAATATAATTAAACATCTGACAGTCCACTTTGCCCAAAATAAAATTGTTTCTTTGCTTTTCTTACCAATGTTTAGCTTTGGGTTTTGTTTTTTTTTTTTTCCTGATCTTTTTTTTTCTGTACTAGGGTTTGAACTCAGGGCTTTGTGCTTTCTCGGCAGGCATTCTGCCACTCTTACCAAGTATTTTTTTTTAGATAAACTTTATATTTGCATTCCCAAGAAAATCATTTTAGCATTTTAATTCAAATTCCAAAAGAAAAAACTTAAAGCATAAGAACTAGAAAATAAGACAACTTATTACTTACAGATCATATGAGAAGTGCTTACACAGAAAGCTCAAAAAAACCTAAACACAAATTATTTGACATAACTTAAGAGTTTGGTGGAGTTTTTAGAGTTAAGATCAATAAGCAAAGTCAGTTATCCAAGCTAAGTGAATTTGCTGCAGCAGGGACCCAGACCAACATGCCTAGCCTCCTTCCTGAAACTGAATCTGTCACATCAAGAAACAACCTCCATACTTTGATAGAAGACATTCCACAACTACCACAAACCTGTTTTTCCTTGACCTCGGTGACATGCTACAAATAAATCTATAGCAATGCCCTGAAATTCTGTCGTCCTACTGATGTAGTTTCCAGCAAGAAAACAAGTGACATAAAGAGTTTGAAAGAAACAGTTACTGATCAGTGGTTCTCATCCACACAAAGTATCCCAATTAAACTCTAACTCTTTTTACCGAAAGAGCCATAATCTCAGTATAAATTCTTTTTACTACACAAAACTCTTTACTATAAATATGTAGCCTACAATGTAGTTCCTATTCTTCTACTACTGATCAGAACTAGAAGAGCAAAGAGAATAAAGTATCTGGTAGAGCCTCCTTACTTTGAGTTTCTGAGCTTCTCCTCTCACTTTCAGCAGTTCAGTAATAGAGTCCACAAAACCCTGGTAGTGAAAGTTGCACATTTTCTCAATTTCTCGATCATGATTGCGGATGCGAGTCTCAAGCTTCTCCATGAATCGTCCATGTTCCTCACCATCATAGACAGACCTTTAAAAAAAATTGAATGAATATTACACCACACTTACTTCAAAGGAGAAAGAATTACAAACCCAGAAGCAAATTTCTATGGAAATTAGATACTTAGGGCTCATAAACCACAATGTAATCCAATTGTATTAACACTGTCTAAATACTAAAAGAGTATTTTTTAGGGAAGAAGTTTTATTTGTTTTTCTTGTAGTGCTGGTGATTGAACCCATGGCCTTGTATATGCTAGGAAAATGCTGTACCACTGACCTACATCACCAACCCCAGGACAGTATGTTTTATAGAAAATCCAAAATTTTGCTTTGTTATTCACCTAAAAATATTTGACAGTATTCATCACAGAATTCTCATCATAAGATGAAAAGAATGAATTGTACCTCCCTTGTCTGTTGTCTATTTAACTAGTCTAGAAAAACTCAATTTTGGTAAACCCAACTATTCAATCACTCAATGACTATACCCACAAACTTGATCACTGTTGGAAAAAAAAAAATCACATAGCCAGGTTGGCTAGATTCAGAATAGCTAAACAGCTACAAATCTAAATTAGGTACTTACTGCCACTAGAAAGATGTAGTACATGCTGAATATTCCTTATCCAAAATGCTTGACAGCAGAAGTGATGCACATTTGAATTTTTTTCAGATTTTGAAATACTTATATGTACATAATGATATATCTTGGGATGGAACTCAAATCTAAATACAAAATTTATTAATGTTTCATATGCAGCTTATACACAGAGCCCGAAAACAATTTTATATAACATTTTTAGTGCAATCAGTGTTTTAACTGCAATTCATCACAAAACATCCAGTATGGAATTTTCTACTTGTGACATATGTCATACAGCATTCAAAAGTTTTGGATTTTAGGCCATTTCAGACTTTAGAGTTTTGGATGAGTTATGCTCAACTTGCATAACTATTATCTCCTCCAAAAAAAATCGCTTTTTATTTTCCAGAATAACTAAGTGTGGGAACCTTACTCTCTCCTATCTTCAAATATTAATCCCCTCACTCTCAGCTACTAATCTGACTATATACCTTACAGAAAAAACAGACACACTAAACTGTCTCTTCTCCATGAAAATCAGCCAACCTACTTACTTACATCTGCACCTCCTACTCTGTCTGCTGTGCTATAAGTATAGAAGTTTTCCAAACTCTTATTTGTAGTCGTACCCGCTTGTCTCAAGAACTTTACTCCTGCAATTATTCCCTTTTATCCATATATTTCTTCCTCTCTTCTAGACCATTCTTATATGAGATATTTTTTTGGCAGTACTGGGGTTTGAACTCAGGGCCTCATTCTTGCTAGGCAGGCACACTACCACTTGAGCTACTCCATCAGCCCTGTTTTGTTAGGTATTTGTCAAAATAGGGTCACGTAAACTATTTGCCCAGGCTGGTTTTGAATCACAGTCCCTCTGATCTCTGCCTCCTGAGTAGTTAGGAGTACAGTTCTGAGCCACTGGTGCCCAACTATGAGACTTTTTTAAATTAGTTACACATCCCCTCCAGCTACCATCTTGCTTCTCTGTTTTCCTTTCCAACAAAACTCCTTTCTACTTCCTCACCTCCTTATTCCCATACCTTACTAGGGCAAGTATTCATCATATTCTACCTAATAGCAGCATTTGGTAGGATTTGTATTCTCCCATTCATTAAATACTCTCTTCTGCAGATTTCAGTGATAACCATACTAATATGGTTTTTTTAACCTTTTACTGACATGCCGTCTCAATCTCCATTCTTGGTTCTTCTTTCTCTATTGCTTTTCTAAATAGTCCTAAAACCACTTCTCTATGTTGTCTCACCAAAAAATCTCATAACTTTAAAATACTACCCATAGGGGAAAATAAACAGAGAGGGTAAAGAAGGACAAATATGGTAGATGTACTTTGTATATGTATATGAAAATAGAACAATGAAACTCATTGAAATTGTTCTGGGAAAGGGGGTAATGGTGGATGAGAAAGAATAATAGCAGGGGTGAATCCAATTAAGTTATACTATAAACAAATATATAATGTCACAATGTGTCCCCCATGCAACTAACACTAATAAAAAAATAAAATACCATCCATATAGTGCTGACTTTCTAATCTATACCCACAATTCAGAGTGCTCCCCTGAGTACTAAACTCAAATATCCAGCTATTATTTAACATCTTCAATTGGATTTTTTAAAGCCACCTCAAATTTTATTACCAGTCTATCTTCACCTCACCATACCACCACAGCTAATGGCCCTATACAGTTGCCCAAACTAAATATCCAGGAATCACTTTCCATCCTACCCCCATCCAGTCCACTTATAAGTCCTCCCAACTCAGCCTTGAAAACATGTCTAAAATTAATCACATCCCATCATTTCTATAATCAACATCACCACTCCAGACCAATGCAACAGCCTCCCAATTGTCTTCATTCTGTACTTCCTCATCTCCTTCATCAATACAGATACTCTACAGGTAGTTAAAATGATCTTTTTACAGCTATAATTTATATATTATCACCACTTCCCTCCCCACTTAAGTATCTCCTCTCACTCTGCTTTGCAAAAAGAATAAAAACTTGAATCTTTACCTTAACCTATAATGTCCTACAGAATCTAGTCATTCTATCTATCTCTACCCTTAACCCTTCTCTATACTCTGTGCTCCATCTACACTTGCTTTTTTTTTTTTTTTTTTTTAGGTCTCTTCCTGCCTCAAGGATTTGTTTTTCTGATCTTATGTTAGTAGTGTTTATTCCCTATATTTTTTTTAACAATCTCCCGCTCATTGTCATCCATGGTTTATTATCTATCTCTCCCTACAAACTGCCCCAAGTAGATTATAAACCGAAGGGCAAGAACTTTACCATATTCGCCACTCTACCTCTAGAACAGTGCCAGACAGATAGTGGGCAGTAAGTAAATATCCACTGACTGAAGAATGTCCAACACTATCTCTACTATTTCTTTGATGTCTGACATTTGTTCAACAAATATACATTTGCTCATTGCCAAGATTTTGCAGTTCTATAATCATTTATAGACTCCAGATCACTACCCTAGACCCTGTGATCAGAAAGCACACTATCCTAAGCAAGTGAGTTCCATTGCAGTAACCACAGATTAAAACACATCCATATTTGCTTCCAGTAAAGATTCTGGATGCTTATGTCAGAAAAAGCAGAGCAATCTATATTCACTTCCCTTCCCCTGGAATAAACAGAGATCTTCAAATAAATTATAAATAATTCCCCAAGTGGCTATTCTTGACCTGAAGGATTTAGAATTTACCATTGGCTCTCCAGCAAATCTCAAATAAGCTTAACTTTTCCCCTTTGAAAGTTTTCTACTCCTTATCATTATAACAGCAGAAGGAATCACTGAAAACTCCTCAATCTAAATGACATAAGACGGCATTATTAAATACTAAACACCATCAGTTTCAAGTTCAGCACATTCTGATTCAACAATACTTCTAAGGGAGGTAACAAGGCTAGTTCCCTCTATTAGGTAAAACTTTTCATTTTTTTCCCTCCAAAGATCTATAATAATATCACAAAGGACAACTTAGAAAGCAGAAAATTCCAAAGTCAAGAAACTCAGAACTTACATTAATAATGTCTCCCTAAATTCCCTGCACTTCCTATTTAAAACAAAACAGAAATCAAAAACCAAAGAAAGGAAATACAAATTTTAGCAATCTGATTGTGTGGCCTTGGTCTTAGCACTGTAATTACCAAGAATCTTTTGCTAATTCAGTTAATCTCTCTGACCCTCAGAGCTTTCTCATTTACAAAATAGGAAGCAATCAATTACAAAGTCTCTGAAGCACTATTTTCCCTTTAAGTCTCTACAGTTCACTTCCACTTTCAAATTCAGTCAATAATGTAAAGATCATATATTTTCAGAATAGTACAGACACAAGTTAATGAATTTTTAATCTCCTCATCACTACTCCCACCTGTTTCTGCTTAGTTCCTTTATGATTTTAATATTCTCTTGAATTATAACGTTGAGTAACTTGAGAGGTTTCAGTGGAGCCCCAGAGTATTTTGAGAATAAAAGTTAGAGTAAAATCTAAAACACATACATTTAAAATAGTGAATATGAACTACATTTAGTAGGCTTATGTACCATGAGTATGCATCAAGAAATCCATGATTCCCAGATTCTATGCGAATCTTTTGTGTACATGGGCAAGTGCACATATATGTATTTTTATGTGAAAAGGATCCATAGTTTCTATCTGGTTATCAAACAGATCAAAAAGCACTGATTTAAATGTTTTATTTCAAATTGCTACAATAGTAATCTGAATGCTTGGACTGACCCCTACCTAATAGTTCACCTTGAATCAGCATTTTAAGCATACCTCAGCATAACTCATTGCTAACCAACAGATCTAACAGATACAAAAGGCAAAAAACAAAAATAAATAAGAAACTCTGGGAAGGTCTCAACTAATCTAATACTGGCGGTCAACATTGTACTTGTATCAATTTTCCCCTTCTGAACAAGTAACTTAAAGTGGAGAAAGACTGCCACCTAGTGATGGCCAATTTCTAACATTTCCTAAAATTTAAAAATGTATCCAAAAAAAAGGGACTGCTAAAAAAAAAAAAAAAAAATCTAAAAATGATATTCTATGAAACCTGTTGGCCCAGACCTGTAGCCAATTGTTGAATGAAATATGAAGTACTCTGATTTTTAAATTTACATTTCTATTAAAGTCAAGATCTTTAAAACAAGTCATGTGCTTCTGATATGTCCAGGTTAAACAAGACTATGGAACAAACTTACCACTGGCTTAGTTATTTATGATAATCTCAAGAGTATTCTAATATGTTGTAAAAATAAATAAACAAGAAGAAATGCTTAGAAATTAACAATAATTTTAATAGCCTAAATTTCAACTGAAATAAATAAACGCTGGCCTAGCAAGTCTGACTTCCAAAACCCACCAAATAAACTACAGATTTCATCAAAAAGTAAAATATTTA